ATTATTGCAAAAAAGTAAGACATTTTAGCTTTTTTATCACTTGCTTCATTTTCAGCTTGTGACCTTACTAATCTGCTTCTTATTATATTAGATCTTACATTAGGGAATAAAAGCAGAGAGATGAAGCATTCTGAAGGCTGGCCAGACTTCATGAAACATGTGGTACTTTAATCTCTGTGAGAATAACAAACCTACTAACCAGATATTAAAAAAACAACTTTGTAAAATAAATACAGTGGTGGTTTCTGCCAAGGGCACAGGTTATGACTCTGAAGAAGAATCAAAATATAGCTATTCAAGTTTGGTCATATATTCGTTATTTCCATTATAATCACAATTAATGAAGTGCATTGACTCTTTTCTAGTGGAAGTAGAATATGACCTGCATGAAAGCATACTGACTTAAGTTACATAACTGTAAGTTAGAAATGAAATGAGCTCATTCATTCTCATCACAGTTGGGCATCTTTTGCACTGGTTTTCAGCTTTAACTTCTAATATTGAGTTCTGACTTTTATGAAATCCTCTGATCAATAGTAACCTACTTTCCTCCAGCTGAGGGCCAGAAGCTAAGCAGAAAAAAATTCAAAACAACAAAACCAACAACAAACCACCTAAAACCCCCTGAAAAGCAAGTAAACAAAAAACCAAAGTGAAATCTGTCAGCCAGATGGAACACTTGGATTTCTTACATACAGTCCTTCCCATTAACAATCAACACAGTTATAGCAGACTAAACATGTCTTCCAAAGCCAATGTTAAATAAAATTCTCTCTAGTTAGAATCAATAGGTCTTGCTCACATATGTTAGTGCTTTCAATGCCCTACTGTCTCCTTAAAATGCAGTTAAATTTACCTTTTCCTTGTTTGCTAAGAAAGAATTTGCTTCTTAGTAAGAAATTATGTGAAGAAGAACTTAGTTTCTGAAGTCTTGTGTTCCCACATCTGCACTTTCCTTCTGTGTGAATATATCTGAATATGCAACAAATACCTGTCTCAGTGGTGCTGTCACTGGTAATGGTGGGGTTTTTGTTAAACCCTTGAGTTTTTTGTTAGATTTGCCTCCTTGGGTATGGCTGATAATAATCTATTCCTAACAATTGCTTTTACTTTTATTCCTTGTGTGACACAGAGATAGGTATTGGCATTACATACATCACAGCATATGCCTCTCAATCCTGTGCAACAGCTGTCATTTTGAATGATCTTCTGAGAGAGAACTGAGCTGGCTCAGTATCATTCACTGGATGCCATCTGTTGTTCACACCATAAGTACCAACTAGTAAGGTCCAAAATGCATGGCTTCTCTTATCATTGCATTTGAAACTGCCATTGACATCAGAGAATGATTGAAGATGCTCAGCCCTGTCATGATCAAACCCTGTAAGTGAATTTTCTAAGGCAGATCAGTCAAGGTGAATCTGAGGTTAGCACAGACCTTAATCCCAGGTCAACACAGACCTTTCCACAGCTGTTCTTCATAGATCTCCATGTCATTTTTATTTTTAGTACCTCAAATAGTTCTGTACATACTCATTCATTTTTCCTTCAACTGTCGGGGGGAGAAGGTGGATCTGCTGAGCAAACTGTAGTGTCTGTGCTTGGAAGTGGGTGACAAGCAGCTGTAAAGAAGCTGATAAAAAATTAATTCAGGAAACTCAGCATGGGAGGGATCAAAACTATCCCCCCTCTCCTAATTAAAACTGTGATAAAATGAAAACATGCTTTAAATCACTACGGTACAAACAGGGGGATTAAGAAAAAAGCTCCTCCCTTTAAACAAACATTTAATACCACTGAGGGATAGATAAAATATAAAACCAACTGCAAAACAGCTCTCTGGATTTTCCCTCTTGATGATTCTGGCATACACCTGATCCTAGGGGTAATATTACATTTCCTTATAAAATATTTATACAACACCATGCCTTAACCTCCTAAATCTGTGCAAGAGCCTGCCTAGCCTTACAGGTAAGTACAAAGACTAATATGAACAACCATGATTTTATCTCTTAAGTGCTCTTTCCAAATGTGTTGGAGCAAAATATATTTTCCAACTTTTTACCTTATATTTTAAATATTACCGTCATAAATAACAATGGATAGACCAAAATGAAGTATCCAATAAGACCAATTGAATATGTATGTTCATGGTTCTCTAGACTTTTCTGTGATTTAACTCAGAAAGGTCCACATGATGTCAAAGAGTATCTTCTCCTTCAGTGCAGTTATTACTAAGAACAGCCATGCTTTTTGGAAACACAGGTGAAGGTAGTGCTTTAAAGAAAAAATAAACACACGGTTCCTACACAATGGAACCTTATAGTCTAGCTTGAAAAATGTATCCCTGTGGCCTATATGATAAAATGCAAAGAGAAGACAGGTGTCAAAGCAACCTCTTCAGATAAGTACTTAAATGTAAATTATGCTCCCTTTTCCCTATTTCTAGGGAGCATATGTGGATCTTTATTCCCTTTTTTCAGCCAATGCTGTCTGTATTTGAAAGAGAAGTCTCTGCTGAAAAGACACAGGTGAGAAGTGTGTTCGGAAGAAGAATTAGAAGAAATCAAAAATGTAATAAGGAGAAGATAGTTGCAAGAATAGGACAGGAAGCACAGTATGTTGAGAAGACCTTAGGAGGACAACACAATTATTGGGGGCAATGTTGGACTAAAGGCTTAGTGTGAGATGATGAAGCAGGTAAGATAATTGTGGAGGTGTTCAGTGAGGAAGAGCTTGGCTAGGAAGCTAGAGCAAACTCAAGCTTGGAAACTGGAGTCGTGGGCTAGTGAGGTAAGCTGTTCAGTTACAAGAAAGCACACGGGAAACATCCTCTCCACAAACAGGTACAGGGTGTCTATACTACAAAACACTGGTGCAACTGCTGCTTCTATAGACATGCATATCCCTATATAGAAAATATATTTACCTAATAACTGCAACAGTAGAGGTTCAGCCACTCAACATTACTGTCTAGGAAGCACTAGGCTATTATTCATATTTAAGACAGTTTTGTAGCCTGAGGTTTGTGTAGACACTGTGCTAACATCAGCCAGTCATACAACTACCTTGTATTTTCAGCATGTAATACATCAGTTGAGTGGTTTTGAATGATTTCTCACTTACAATCAGAGGTTAAGTCTTACTGCCACTGGCAGCCCCCCATTAACTTCAGAGACATAAGGTTTTCACCTGTGGGATTTCAGGGTCTCAGTTTGCTGTCTTTAGGCCACACTACAGAAAACAGGTCAAAAAATTAAATTCTATGGTTATTTCAGATATAATCATACATCCTTCATAAATAATGTAACTTCTTGAGGAGAAGTACAAAGTGATAAAATTATATGGTCTCTATGAGGATAATAAGTTGTATTTTTTATTTATATGTTTTCTTACCTTGTCTTCTTATGAAATTCACTCCTCTTTCCTCATGAAATGTAAAAGTGGTGTGTAGTATTGCTGTAAATGTTTTACTTTACCAACCACAGAACCTCTTAAGATGACTTCATTTTCATTCTGGTTTGGATCTCTATATAGTTGGTATCAAAAAATTCTGTGAGCTTATTGAAAAAAAGTTCATTGTAAATGCAAGGTATCTGTAAGGCATATTTAATTTTGCATTATCTGCAGTCATAGAACATTTTTTATTTCATTATGCTTAGCAGAACCACTACTATAGCCCTTTGGGAGTCTTTTTTATTTCTTAGGAGTGTATGAATACTGAGAATATTGATGACTAACACATATATATGTATGTGTATATATATGCTTTTTGCACAGGTAACAAGTTCTGGGTTTTCAAGGACACTACTCTCCAGCCAGGTTATCCACATGATTTGATAACACTTGGAAGTGGAATTCCTTCTCATGGCATTGATTCAGCAATTTGGTGGGAAGATGTTGGGAAAACCTACTTCTTCAAAGGAGATAGGTTCGTATAGGAATTCTGCAAGGAAGCAATTGTTAAAATGTTAACCTTTTCCTCTGTTTCACAAAAGAAGAAGTCAAGACACTTAAACAGTTCATTTTATGTGGATGAAATGAGCTCTTCGTGCATAGAAGACCATACCGTTTCACATTTCTCATAACCTAAATTGTATTTGTGTGAATATCCTGAAATGGGTATATGTATATGAAGTAGAAAAGTTGTGTTTTAGAAGTCAGCAGGCAAGTCACTGTTGTGGCAAAGCTAAGCTTAAATATTCAAAGTAATGTATTTATGTGCACTCTTATCTGCTTCCTTTTATCCACATTTTTAAACCCAAGCACATAAGTAGTCAAGAAATGATCCTAAGCTTTTTATGGTCAGTGAAAATGACTTAGCAGTAATTTTAAAATGAGGTAAAAAAGAGAAATGACAGCTAAACCTGGAAGCTAGAGTAGAACTGGAGCAATTTCTAGAAACTATTTTTAAATAAGTCTTATAGTTCCCTTCAGAAGGGACACATATTTATGATTAATAAAAAACCCCACCCAAGCCAACTGAACAAAAAAGCAGAAAAAAGTAAAATCTGAGTTCTTTTTCCATTTCTGAAAAAGACTTGCACTAGTCACTTAGTGTCTCTGTGTCTTCATTGCCATGACTGTGAAAAAAAGGGAAAGAATATTTGTCTGCTTTATAAAGATGTCAAAAGAACTCATTAAGCTTTGAAACCCTGCAAGTTATCTGAAAGATGGATTTCACAGGTTTTCAGTATGATATTATGTTCATTGATTGATATATCACTGTGCAAATTCTGTGTGCTCAGAGACAACTTACTCTTTATTAATAACTGTTGTGTTTCTATTAGTATTACTAAAAGTATGACTGCTTTTGTTACTGTGTGGTACTTAGGGTTCTTAGACAGTACTAGTGGATCACTTTAGAAATTAATTTTATGCACATCATAGAATATGTTCAGCACACTATAGCTGATAATTTTTTAGCAGTGCTGTCATATCGCACTGCAGATTGCCCCAACAAATGTTATTGTAAAAGTTGTTTTTTTAAAAAAATTAATATTTCTCCAGCACTCATGATGAGGAAAGTAGATAACTAAATAAAATTCTGTGGTATTTGAAAACTAGGTATCATTTCAAGCAATCAGTTCCCACAATGAAGAAGAAAGTCACTTAAAGAATTCATTGCTTATGGTTGAGTAAATTTTTTTTAAAATGTAAATTCATTTTCAGGTAATAATCTTCCACCTCCACATACATAATGTAGAAGTATGTACAGTAGGAGTCTTTTGTGACTTGTACTTCCTTTTGGCTTTATTCAGCACTGTCCTTTTATAGTTCCATGCATCTGCAGTTACTTATAGTCAGGACTTCCCTAAAACACTATTGGTAATAACTGAAGACAAACAGAGGTCTCAGGGAAAACATCTGGCAGAAATGTTGCTACTTAAAGCTAACAAGCACAATGAAACTCAGCAGGATATAAATGCAATACAGTATGTTAGAAGAAGATTGAACAACATCAGCCTTGCAGAGATCATTGAGCTATTACAATATATTGACCATCAGTGGGAAGAAATACAACTAAATTTTTCAATGTGTCTTGCTTGTATCACAATTTTTTCTTAATGCAATATTAGAGTTGAATTTTCCTGCTGCTTTTAGTAGCATGTAGAAGCCTATTATAGGTGTGGATCTTTTCTGGAAAAAGGTATAACGTAAGTGTAGCTTCTTGGTGGCATCAGGTAGAAATCAAAAAAATCCAAACAGTTATGCCAGCATCAATGTAATAAAATATGCTCCTCCTTATATAACTCAAGGACCTGTATATTTATTTTATTTTGGCAATATTATGTAGTTAAGGAGCTCCAGGGCAGAACCTAGAGTTAAATATCCCAGAACAATGGTATGCATAAAAAAGCTTGAGCAATAGAATATAAAGCATCAAATATTGGCTAGAAAATAAAAAAATAATAAAATCCAACCAAATAAACAAACAAAGAACAGTAAATAGATTTAAAAGTCAAAATAGTAAATGCTGTTGTAATATTCATGTCTAAAGCAGCTCATGTATAGAACATTATTGTTAATATTTGAAATTATCTACTTCAACACTAATTATAATTCTTCTAAATAATTGTATGAAACCTAAAGAGAGGACATAAGATGACTACAGAAAACGTTTTTCCCTCTCTCATTCCTCTCCTACGAGAATCGAGTAGTGTAGGACTAGGTTATAATAGGTTTGTTGCACTTTTGACACATGGCCTTGTTTATGCGCCGTCTGGTGTGACTGATTTTATGTATTTTAGAGTTTATGTGAATATATTAGTCACCAAATAATTCTAAATATCATAAGTAAATGGGATTAGATAGAGAAATGAACATATTTTAACAAATATTTTCCAAAGTCTCTTACTCTAAAGCTATGAAGTTGATTTTCACTTATTTTCTCTCTGTTGATTTATCCCTCTTTGAGATACAGTACACTATTTATATAGTTTGTAAAGCTCAAGTCATCATTGGGGAAGTTGCTTGTGAACATTTGGCATGCCAAGGAGAATCAAGACTAAGCTTTGCCTTACCCTGTAGACATGCTCATTATTCTAGCACAGATTGCTGGGGTAGTATTGTGATCAGTCCTTCCCTAGTAGGATTTCCCATCAATGCTGAAAAACAAGTTTTGGGATTTCTGAGTGTTCACTGAGTACGTCCTTAAAGAGTTTTTTTTTAATGACATAGTATATTTTTGAAAGTTGTATAGGGCTAGTGGAAAGGTTATTCAAAGAAGAAGCTCAAAAACGTGAAAATGATGGAAGAGAAAACAGGAAAATGAGTGGAAGCATGCAGGAAGGAAATAGAGTTCTGGGATTGAGGGATAGAGAAAAAGATGATATACTTGATTTAAAAATGTAAATTAAGAATGAAGAAACGCAGTTGAGCAATGAGAAAGAACTGGCTTCAACAGTATTGATGCCAGAACTTTGTTTACCACTTCTACATATTTTTTTATTTCTCCATGTAAACTCCAAATAAAGAGCATTGATTGGTTGGCTGGTTACTGATGTATATGTGTCTAAATTAAGAAATCAGGCTATAAAATTATTTATGCATAAGAAAGAAAAATAAACAAAATTTTTTTTTATGTAACTTGCCAACTTGTAATCCACTTGAAATATGCAGCCTTTAATTTCATTGAAAGTTTAAAGCCAGAGAAAAGCCCCACAGGGAGGAATATAGAGAAGTTTAGACCACTTTATTTTAAAAAAAAACAAAGATGCAAATCAATTACAGTGTCTAATTACTGTGCAGGGACAAAATATCATCTGCTTAAGGACTTTTTAATGTATGAGGAATGATCATGACAAGGATTTCTAAAAACTGAAGTTGAATAATTTCAAATGAGAAAAAGAGTCAAGTTTTTAGTATTGGCCAGATTATTAATGATAGTGATATGTTCTCAGGCTGTTGATGTCCTGAAATGTGCGTGGCTGCCTTTCTATGTAATTTTTCCACATGAATAAAGCTGATTTAAAAAAAATAATGTTCAAGGCAACTCTGTTCTACATTGTTATGCTCTAAATTAGTGAAGTCAATACAAATACGAAAGGAACCACCCAAATCAGGATACACAGAGATACTAGAGATGAAATATGTCCATTCTTAGAACTTGATTATAAAACATGCATAACAATTTAGCCAGCAGTATAAGGAAAAAGAAATTATCAACATTATCTGTAAGCATAAATAAAATCACAAGTGTGAATACTTCTTACATGTTCAGGGCTAGTACAATTTGCATGCTGAAGCTTTTTAAATTTGAGAAGGGATGGCTGGCAAAAGGCACAAAAGCAGCTTGAATTTTGCATTGCACTGCATTTATTTAGTCAAAATGAAATAAAAAGCTACTGTAATAAGGAGTTAAATTAAAGATTGCTGGGAGTGTTTTCACTGGAATCTACTGACATTTTCATGATTGAAATGTTATCTAAAATATTTATATACCTTTTTGCATGTGTTGCACCTCTCTGTGTCACTGTGTCCTAGACATCAGAATTGCTGCGATTATAAGTGAGATGCATGCTGATTTAGTGGTCAAAGTGCAAAAATCTTTTATCTTCTATCTGCTTACATGAAACAGTTGTCCAGTCAGCAAATGGATTTCTTTGTAATCTCGTAGTATGTTCAAAGAAAAGAAGTCAAATATTCCCATTTCTGGCTAATGGATGTAGCAAAAGTTGGAATGGGAAAACATAAAGTTACTCACATGCTCTCTTACAAATGTACTTTTTTTTCCTTTGAAAAAAATTTCAGGTACTGGAGGTACAGTGAAGAAATGAGATCCATGGACCCTGGTTATCCCAAACCAATCACAATTTGGAAAGGTATCCCAGAATCTCCTCAGGGAGCCTTTGTCCACAAAGAAAATGGTATGTGAAATGTGAACACACTCTTGATTTAATGATTTACTTACACCCTTTATAGAAGACAGAGTTGTAGAGAGATGATTGACTATTCAGGTTAAGTAGTGAAGGAATTCTTGCTTTATGAACAGAACATTTCCTGCTCTAGATCTTCCTGTAGTGAAAATGGCTGTTAGTTTGCATGTACCATTTAACACAAGGGAGAAAAAGCTTTCAAATTCAATATCATAAACCTCACTTTCCATTCTTTTTTTTCTTCTGTCTTAATTCACTTCATTTTTTCCTCTCTGCTGAAGAGACTTCTTGAAGTAAGCTTCGTAAACACCCTATGATCTCTATTGAATTGTCAAGGTGTTGGCTGTCTAAACATCTTAGAACGTATTGCTTTCATTTTGAAAAACTAGGAAAGGGAAACAAATTATCCCTAGAAATTTATGTAAATCAAAAATGTCATAAGCCAATGATGCAGAAATGCAAATCACAGGGATTTTGGTATGAAGTATTATTACCTGCATCAAGATGCATCATCACATACCTAGAACCTAGAATCTCAGCTGGCCACACCTCCAGATGAATGAGAGCAACGAAAATCTCCTCCATTTGATTAGAATCAGTGCTTCCCAGGGGATGTTGGCAGGCTGCTAACAGAGCCCTCAGTTGCACAAAGTTTAGGTCCCTTTGACAGGAATAAAAATATGCATTTGTTGTCACTTATCATTGTTGGACAGTTATTATATGGCATATATGATTAGTAGGCTCTGTGTTGATTTGTTTTGCCTCACAAGACAGCACACATACATATAGCCATATTATTTTAATTTCCTTTTAACAAGAAAATAAAAAGATTTCTTTCCTTTTATAAATCATTTCAGTCTCCTATTTCAACCTCTAACTTAAATAATTTGTCATGTAAATATTTGGGCTTTTTTTCTTCCTGAAATACATTTGATTGCTTCCTTGCTTTGTCTCTGTTTTATCCAGAGAAGAAATCCACTCTGTATTCTGGCCTTTTGGCTAGACTGGATATTTTTGTGTTGCTTTTAACTGGAAAGTAGGTCAGTGAAGACAATATTCTGCATACATCACACTCAGTAATTAACTGTTTGTAAATACACATATATGTGGAAATACAAACATTATGAGTGCATAAATGTAAGAGATATGGCTTCTTCCTTTAAGTGCGTTTTTAAAGATTTACATCCAAAAGGAATTAAACATACATATATATATGTGCGTATGTATGTACAGTTTGGTTATTTTCTTTCCTCGATTGCATTTCCCATAATAAATTTTCTGTACTGAGCTCAAGTACATATGCCTCCCATTACAAATGAAAACTATCTTACTGTAACACTCAGACCAGTGAGTTTGAAAGCACTGCAGAGGTAGAGCACTCATTCCTTAGGCAGGAAAGACTCTTGGTTGTATCAAAACCACTTCTCTTTTTAAACCCAGTGGTTTGATAATCTGCTTTACTCTTTCAATCAGAAGGTTTGTAAAGCATGACACAAGATTGCAGAGGAGGTGAAAGGAAAGAGGAAATTCTTGGGCATCTTAGCAAGTCTATATGGCCCCCAGGGCAGGAAGAGGGACTGAAAATGGCACCATAAAGTTCCCAAAAAGACCATTCAGGCATTTTTCCTGAAATCAAGGAAACAGAAGTCTCTAAGAAACAGTTCACAACAATACTGTTGCTTGTATGAGGCAAGAAAGAAACAAAAGCAGATGCAAACAAGAAATACCATAGCTTAGCTGGAAAGAAGTTGATTGCTTTTGTCTGAAAGTGGTTTTATTTCTTTGGACAGAAGCAGAGTTGATAAAGAAGTTTTACTCCATACCTTCATGAGGAAACATCTAAAATCATGTCTTTCAGTGAATCCGTTTCATTTTAAAGCATACTTGTTTCTTTCCCTTGCCCTTGTATTCTGTAAACCATGCAAATGAACACCTACAATAACTCTGATCATGAAGGGCTTTCCTTCACTGATGGCAAAAATTTTGGGTAATCTTGCATTATGAGGCTTGGGAAGGAGGAGAGAAAACAATTTCCTACTCTAGTCAGCATTATGACTCAGTGTTCTAGAAGCTTGGTAAGGTACAGGTATCATCTCTGAAAGTCTCTCCGCTACTTCCCATATTGTAATTTCTTTTCTAACACTTTGGTATAAACTCTTAGGAGGAGGTGAAGAAGAAATTTCATTTCTTTTGCTCCATGGAATCTGAGATCACACAAAGTTCTCCATATTAGAGAAAACTTTCTTCCTGCATTGAGAGCAGCATAGAAAATTTTACTTTCCAACTAGAAATTCTGCTAAAGTAAATGGTGGGGCAATTTTTAGAGAGAAGAAAGAGAAAAGGTAGTCTACTTTATTAGTCCACTGGCCTTTTTTTGTCTTGTACTTACTACATAAGTACATTTGGCATATTAGCGACTGCTAAGCCCTTTCATGCTGTTTGGGTCAGGTATTGCACTCACTGCTCTCAGTGACGAGTACCTGGAAAATTGCAGGGAGCAGCTCCCAAAGCAGGCTCAAGAAGTCAAAGAGATTAGATGAAATCACTTCCAACAATTGTGTGAAGTCATTTGTTCTGCCACGAGAAGCAGTAAAACTACTCAGTCTCTTAGACCTACCCTTCTCTGCTGGTAGCTTCCATCTTTCAGTTGTTACTGACTGTTATCCTGGTTCCTGCCTCAGCAAAAATGATGGAAAAGTTTAAACTACCTTCAGAGTTTTCCTATGAAAAATGTGCTCTGATTGAAAAATTTTTATTAGATCTGCAGGGGCTGGCAATTCCTTTGCTGCTTGAAGAGTTTTAATTTGACCTTTGACTATATAATATCAATTACTACTAACTAATGTCTAGATTCTGGCTTACCTGTACACCGATGTATAAATACATGCATTCTGCATATGTGTAAGAATATAGATTTAGGGATGTCATGTCTATATATGGTCTCGACGTATGTATTAGAATATTGATAGACATAATATATCAAATTTCCATATCTGAAATTTTTATCCAGGACCAATATGTTCAGTACTTTCTTACATCACGTTGTTATATGAAAGGCAAAGATAGGGTAACCTGCAGCTCAAAATGCGGAAATTATGCATTTGATAATATTTTTCATTTAAACTACAGATTGCTTTAAGGAACTTTATATATTCTAAAATTTTAAAGCTTCATCATATTTAAAGAATTCCAGTCCTCTTTTTTGTTTTGTTCCAATCAGAATAGAAGGCCTTTCCTGTACAAGTCTAGATATTGTTTTGATACAGCTCAGTACATTTTGTTTCTTTTCTTTTTTTTTTTCTTTTTGAACTGTATTAGACTTTTCTATAGATCTGCTAACACATTTTCAGGTAACATAACTGTGAGGGACTAATAAAAGGAAAATGGTACCTTTGCATTGGCTAGGAAGGCTATGAAAATTACAAAAATAGCTAATGTGTAAGAATGTTGAAATACTCAAATTATTCTGGTAGATGATGAAGAGATTTTTACAGTTTGAGCTGCAAAATATATTATCAAGTCTTTTTGGTTTTTAGAATTGAAAGAAACTACTGGTTTTTTGAATAGGTGGCTGCTAATAGCCAGTTACCAACCTTTTTAGGAAGCATTGTTAAAATGACAAATAGTACTCAATCTGTCTTAGTGGCCTTTAGTACTGCAGGAGATAGGCTGAGGTCTATAAAGTGAAGATAAGGAGAAATCCAGCGGTTTACATTCAGTTCATAAACAATAAGAGGAAGTTTACCCATCCTGAAGGTTTGTTTCTTGCCAGATCAATGTCATTTTTCAGCTGAGATAGTAAAGTAATGTGGATTTTTGGCAAGGAGTCATGTTTTTTTTCTCCATTTAGGCATGTTTAGTAGTTACATTGCATTCTACCTGAATGATCAAGCTCTTTCCAGAAAACTTAAATCAGATTGCACCTGTTTCTAATGTGAAAGATGCTGTTATTTCATGCAGTTTCCTTCTTCTGAAGTACAGCATTAGGCTATGTAACATTAAAGAGGGTCAGTTCTCACTTCTAGATAGCATTGCAATGTATTTCAGTAGACTTCCCATCTTGAAGAGATGTGGTGCTTTAAAGTCCTGGCCCTGAGGATTCCATCTCTAGTTGGGTTTTCAGACCATATTATCTGGAATTCTTTAACTTTTTCTTTTTTTGGAGCAATGAAGAACAATAAAATCCCAGTTTAGTGAAACAAAATAAAGCAACAAAAACCCACCAAAAACCCAATGTTAGATTTTTTAGAGATAGTAAAGAAATTAAATTTGTAAAGAATATTTGAAATACCTATATCTGAAGTCTATTCCTTATAGCTTTTTATTTTTTTAATTACAAAAAAAGAAGTTGATACCAGTAGTTTCTATCATGGTGTGTTGATGATGTGATTTGATTTGATGTAACTGTGAATAATTGTAACTTTTTTCCTCAGGCTTCACATATTTCTACAAAGGAAAAGAGTACTGGAAATTCAATAACCAGATGCTCAAGGTGGAACCTGGCTATCCCAGGTCCATCCTCAAGGATTTTATGGGTTGTGATGGACCAACAGATCGAGATAAAGACCGACATAGCCCTCAAGATGACGTTGACATTGTCATTAAACTGGACAACACAGCCAGCACTGTGAAAGCCATAGCCATTGTCATTCCCTGCATCCTGGCCTTGTGCCTCCTTGTCTTGGTTTACACTGTGTTCCAGTTCAAAAGGAAAGGAACACCCCGCCACATACTGTACTGCAAACGCTCTATGCAAGAGTGGGTGTGATGTAGGGTTTTGGTTTTTTTCTTTCCCTCCCAGGAGTTTGTGGTAACTTGAGATTCAACACAAGAGCTGTTAATGCAGTTTCCTAGCTAGGAGCGGGCATCTGTCAGTCTGAAACAAAGCTGATCTTTAAAACCCAGGGGGTTGCCTGTCCTGCGCATGAGTGGCGATTCACTCAGCTGGGAAGCTTCCATGCTACACAGTATCTGCTGTTTCTTCAGTCCTTTGTCTTTCTTTGTCATTCGATTCTAGGCCTTTCCTCTGCACGCTCAATGCCCTATAAACTATCAGGATTAACTACCGAAGAGGAAACAAATATATCTCCAACGTTTCTACATTTATCCCTTAAGGCCTGTTCCCCTTTGAAAAGTTTTTTGCTGAAAGTAAATTTTTTTAGTAAAACACAACCAACAGTGGAACTTTCAGGAAAGTGAGAAGACCTAAAACAGCTTCGTCTCCAAAGAAGATTGCTTTCTGTCTGCTACGGATAAAGTCCTATACTCCTACTTCCAGTTTTGTCAGGTGGGAGACTCGGATGACACGCAGGACTTCAGACTGTTCGGACAGCCATTTTCCAACAAACAAGGGGCCAAAATATCTGCAATATAGTAACAGCCTTAATAATACATTCATTTTGTGTTTTTTACAGCTGCTCTGGGCTACGTCCTCAATGTTTTAAACTCATTTATATTCAATACTATATTCAAGCAGAACCTTTTTATTGGTTTGTTTAATTTTTGGTTGGTTTTCCTACATAATCTTTCCCAAGCTGTACCAAGCCAACTGCCCCAGGCCTTTCATAGGTCTGTCAGGAGCACTCATTCCAAAGCATGGTAAAAAGCAGTGTGTCTCTGAAATGGATTTCGATGAACTAAAGCAACAGACATGCTTTTGAGAAACTTAACATTGGTATTACATTGGTGGTGTAACCCTTTGAGAACTATTGCATTTGTTTTCAGAGTCTGGTGGATGTTAATCTTGGTTGTCATTAAATTATAGGATTGTGTATGGGTAAGACAGGTTTTAAAAGAAAACCAGTTTTTCAAAACAGATTTCCTGTGACTGCGAGTGTTTTTAATTATTTGCATTATTGAAAGAAAAGCATTTGTAACATAAAGAGAAAGCAAAATATGTTTACCAGCTACTTTCTGGTTTAGGGAACCAAGCCTATTTTAATAATTTCTACCACTTACCTAGAATTTTTCTGAACTGGCAACAATTTTATAGCTTAGCCTCTTATCTTAAGCATCTTGAATTTCTCTTTTGAAACTATGTTGCATGATGATTCCATTTGCCTCTGCAGAGGTAGAGTTCCAGTTTCAAAGGAAAGCTAAGATGATGACTCTGGTATTGCATGAGTATCCTCTGGTGTGTTACCCCTTTGCATGTTCATCATAGTTCTCAAAGGGTTAGTCAAATTTCTGGCCTTCAGTTGAACACGGTATCACTGATGGAGCCAAGGGACCACCAAAACATTTTGTCATTCTGTGTAATTTGTGCTAACGGCAGTATTGTCATTTTCATGTGACCTGCAGAGCAGGTTTGTATCAATATTTTTTTCCTAGAGAAAAGTCAGCAACTGACAGACCTCTTTATTGATTTTAGGAGCTGCTTCTTGCAGTGATAGGCTTTACAGTCACTGGGCTGTGAACTTATTAAAGATGGTCAGAATGATGCACCCCAAAAGTCAGACACCTGGTTTTTTATGAAAGCCAGGATTTGAGGGGAGTAGCTTTTTGCAACAATGAACAGCTTGCCTTGAACTTGATTATTGACCTGTTGACTGTCATTACCAAGTTAAACATTGTCTTCTGTGAACAGCTTCACTGTCTGAATTTCCTTAAAGTGTACTGTCCTATGTCTTTGATCTTTGACCTTTAACTTGCAAACTGGCACAAACTGAAGGGAATCTGGTGTTGCAAATGACAAGCTTTATTTCTTAAAAGGCCTGACACAAGAAATTTGAGGAAAAAAATTGATGTGTTTTAGTAAGAAAGAACTGACAAATGAAAATATTTATGATAGGTCTGTAGAAAGGTGTTTTGCTATGTATACATGCACACTCTAAAAATGAACAGCAGTAGAAGTTAATTTTTATTTAACTTTAATACAATTTTCAGTATTATTTCAACAAATAGCTAATTATTAAGGAGAAGGTTGCAGGAAAGTATTAAAATACTTGAAATGGCCAGTATAGGCTTTTGCATAAAATGAGACTTTTATTCTATGTTCAACCAATTTCTTACTGGTTTCTTAATCCACATAACTGGATCACTTTTTAGAGAGTGTAGGTATATATACATATATAATATGATTATTATTGTTTTGGTAATGGATAGCTTGACTGCCTTGAATTTATATTGAGCATAGCATGAAAAATAGTATGCCTTTTTTCCAATTACATGATTTTATATTGATTTGAGGACTTATGAACATACATGGTGTGCTATAAAGCATTGCAAACTTATTTCTTAGAGCATAAACAGATATACATAAGTGCGGTTATCAAAAATGAAGATTAGGAAAAGGATATAGTTTCACAGCAAATATGCAATGCAAATGGCATTTTGGAGATGTTTTATAGAGGTACTGTAGGTTAGAAGCGCACCAGTATCAGCCCATGGCATAATTCAGTAAATCCAATTCAGTTGTTGCTGAAAATATAGATTTGTTGACAGTTTAGTAACAAGGTATTTACCGCAGATCAGCTCATTTGGTGAATTTGGCATTCTGTTCCTGTTTGTTATATATATTGTGTGTGTTTGCATACTTCTAAAAGCACACAAACGCACACATAAACATACATGCACATTTTTAAACACGGAGAAATTTTTATGGTCAACAAACTACTATAACTTATGTTCTTCTACAGACAAAACAAAATGTTTGATGTTGCTGTTCCAATTTTGTCCCTTGGATAGTTGGCGGAAAATATTAACAGAACTACTTATTCTGCATTTGTTTTTTCTCTGCCATAGGAGAACTTATTTAATATTATTTTGAAGTCAGAACCACATCTCATCTGTTTGTTTCACTTGAAAATTTCGCTTCAATTTTGAAATACCTTTCATGGCAGCTTTAACTTTTTGTGCAACTGTTTCCCTGACAGTAATGAAGTGCTAAGCATGTTGACTGTTGTTCTTTCATAAGGTAATGAAAATGTTTGTATTTGCAGAATTTAATTATGCAGGAAGGTAAGTGTGATAAGTCTAGTGCTTGGTATATGGTACATCATAGATACATGAATACACAATAAGTTGGTTGTTTAATCTATTTTCATTTATGTAAAAGTGCATATATGCTATATACAGAGAGAGGGAAAAAACTAATATTATATTGGCATGTTTATGTCATGCAGAGCAAGATTGTGTCAACATTTCTGTTACATACTCATATTTTCAGTAGGTTGTAACACAGTCATAAAGGTTTGCTTTAAGTAAAAGATGTAGGAGCAATTGTGTTCACTGTAATTTCCAAATACATACTGGCTAGCTTCAAATTATAAAAGTTCAGAGTAAATTAGTGATGTTGCCTGATCTAATTTTGAACTCAAATGAGTAAAAGTTCTAAGACAATGTTTCTTTTTTTTTTTTAATACTTATTTCTCTACCAGGGCCTATAACTACCAGAAAAAGTGAATTGAAAATATTTTCCCTTCTGCAATCTGGATTCCTGCTCACGTGCCGTAACTTTTAAAATAAACATTTCCATATTGCTATTGCTATGATCTGTACTGTGGAACAATACAAAACTGAATATGTATTGTGTTAATCAGCTACAGTCTATCAAGCTGACTGCACAGGGTTGTGTATCTTTCAGAGTACTATGGTCTGTATGATGCAGGAGGCCAGAGTAGATGATAGCAGTGTGTCCTTTGGCCTTTTAATGTATACACCTATGAAAAGGTTATTGACTGTAGACAAAAATTAAATTTTTATCAAAAAAATACATTTTAAAAAATATGTAACTGTATATTTACTGGATAGGCTGGGATGGAGAGGCTCAAATGGCTCCAAAGGAGCCCTTTCAAGTCTCCTGAATAAATGTAATACATATTTTATATATTCCTATGAACTTTTGTTCTTTTTCTTCTTTCAAAGTGGGGCAAAGGGAGGGGATGATTAAAGAAAAAGATTTTTTAAGGCTAATTTTTTGAATGAAAATAACAGAACCTAATAGATTCAAACATAAGGGGTAGACTTACACTTTTTCTTAGAAGTGTATTTCACCTCCCCAGTTGCTTGGTCAAGACTCCTGTGCCATTAGCACTTTGGGTTAAGAACAGAGTGTAAGGCTTAATTTTTGAATTTTCAACTTGTTTGGGGGTCTTACTTCACAATCTAAATGTCTGTTAAATGTAGCTTTTGGTACCAAATTATATAGCATCTAATTCTAGCTTGTTGGTTAAAAAAAAAGTGCATAGACTAGAGTGTCGGTCTGCCTGTAAACAATGGAAGCATTACATTCCTGTTCTGGGTTTTTTTTTGCATTTGAGCCATCATTAGGACAAACCTTAAAAAAGATACATAGCAAACTGAACAGTGAATGTTCCAGGCACTGGATTTTTAAGAAAGTAGAAATGCAAGATACCATACCATTAGCAGCCTAAACTGGAGAGAGCACAAAATGACTGGGCGGAGGACCCAAGGATATGACTGCAGGGGCTTGCTCTGTCCTGGCTGCCATATCTTCTCACAGCATGTCCCAAGTTTTATCATCTATTCTAGAGGTGAAGGAAGCCGTGCACCATGGCAGTAGGAGATGTGAAGCAGCCATTGCAGAACAATAGCTCCCTGTTGCCTTTTGTTGTTGTCAAGACTGTCTCTGGACACTTCCATTTCCAGAAGTGTAAATAGATGACTGCAGCTCTATGAGACATAAGGGAAATCATTATTATTAGTGGAGGAAACAAATGTCATTGGCCACTTAGGTGTTCGGCTATGCCGTAAATCAAATAATATTGTGTGGGAGCTGAGGAACAGATAACCTGTTATTGAATACAATGGTATAGCTGTGACCGATACACCAGCACTGTAATGTTAGACATGCTTCCTTAGCTCACACTACACAGGCTGCAGACAAACAGAGTGGTTCTCATAAGATAAGGCTATTTAAACATGTGTCAGTTACAAAATCAGGTGTATATGAACCATGTGCTCATAAAATTAATCTCTGATACATGCATGAAATTCAATGAATTGTCTGCCACTAGTCTCGTGAAAAATGTGTAATGTGTGAGTCAAATCTGTCTAACCCATTCATGTGACTTGCCATCTGAGATGTTGTAGGCTGAGAGAGGAAGACATTGTCATCAGTGTCATCAATGCTTAAAGTGTTGGGTAGGCATCAAAAGCATACCATCACTTGCTGCAGACTGGTTACATTTGATGCTTGATCTAAGGTAGCCTCTAATGTTAGGCAGCATAGATTTTGTATGATGTGTCATTATTTGATATATATATGCGTGTAAGTAGAAATGCCCAATAATATTCAGGGGACTGTATTTTGAAGGATTACCAGTATGTGACCACAGCAAGCATCTATTCCTAAAATCAAAATGTATTTCAAAGAAGCATATAGAGAGCATTAAACACATACATCATGTTTCCCAGTATACATAAGCTTTAGCATATCATCTACAAATTATGGTGAGTTTATTAACATCTGAAGTTGCAGCTGCCCATTGTGTCTTTGAAACAGGACATTCTGTGAGTAGCATACATAAAGTATGTTTGCTTTGTGGAGATAGCCTTAAGTATCACTCTGGTCTGCCAACAGCATAGATGAAATAAATTTTAGAGGAAGAGAAGACATAAATGAAGAAATCCTGATGTTGCTAAAGACAATTTTCTATACTTGGATGTGCATGCAGTGTAGGGCTACTTGCTGTCACAGTAAAACTACATAAACAATAATCATTACACATGCCAGCCATCTATGATGGCACGAAGATTTCCAGTCACACAGCTTAGTTTCTTCTGCTTCTGTAGAATGACATTGTCCACTGATTATAATTATAGCCACCACATAAAACAAAGTTTTCTGTTTAATTAACAGCAATTTCTACGCTATGAAATTGCATCATGTCCATTTTATAACTACAACCTTAATCTCCTAGGAGAGCTCTTGGCATATCTTAATTCGTAGCCTTTCATACCTTTGTTTTTGTTTTTGGGTTGGGGTTTTTTTCTGCTCTTGAAGTAAAATATATAGTGAATATTCTCTCCATCTTGCCATCTGGCACTAACATGTGGAATAATCATGTTCATTCTGTGCCATGCCTATGTCCTGGATCACCAATTTGCCCATCCATCATTCTGGGAACTGACTTTCTGGGAAGTGGAATTAGTAACAGAAGGCTGAGAGAAAATAACTTTCTAAAGTACCTGATTAGTCCTTAACAACATGACAATGGAGTCTGAAGAGTTTTTAGTGAAGTATTGTATTACTTACCCACTGGCAATAGGACAGTGTAACTGACAGTCAGTGTATGCCCATATGGGTTCACCACTTGCAAAGAGTGGTGTGTTGTGTCAGAAAAGAATATTTCTAATCCATATTTCCATCCTGATGTATTAGCATTTAACACCCAGTCTACACACATATACATGGCTTACATAGCTGTACATAAATTCATCTTCCCTGTGGAAGCCAAGAGTTAGGGTTAGCAGACAATCAATGCTAACTTATAAATAAGTTTTTTTAAAAAAATTGGTTCCCTTGCTATAATTTTGGAGCCTCAAAGAATAAAAAATAGGTCTCTCCATAGTCTAAAATGATGGTTTCCAATATTCTTTGTCAAGGTTCAGAATTACATGATATTATATATGGCTTAAAAAGTAGTGATTTATGACTGATACATTGCAGTTCAAATGCATAACCCCATATTTAGGCATCCAATGACTCTGAACAGAGAAACACATACTGTGTTTGCTATGCTTGGCTATTGCCACAAAATTGTCACTGCTCACATACTGATCATCTTCACATCTTATGCGAGCACCATGTTGAAGCCAATTCTGAGCAGTTTGTCTGCTTGGTTATAAGCAGAATTGTATGACTTAGGAAATGGTATGTGTGATGACATTCAGAAGGCATCATCAGCAACCTGTAGTGCTGTTTTAAATGACCATGACTACTACAATTTGTACTTTGAAGGCATAGCTGCAGCTTGTATGTAAGTGGTTGTGTTTTACTTCATATGATAAAGTTCTGTGAACTCTGGCCATGCACCATCAGGAAGATGAAAACTTCCAGGATAGCCAATGCCAATACTCACACAGCTCACAGAAATAACTGAGATTATTATATCCAAGAAAATTTAACCTTGAATAGGAATCCAGAATTCAAGGAATGTGTGATGATGCAAATAATCTATTCCCACCTCTTACTCTATGGAATGCATTTGGTAAAGCATTGTCAAGTATATACCTAACATCTGTCTTTACTGTTTTTCCAAAACCACCCAGACATTTCTTGTCAATTCCTGCACAGTACTGACTTACTGTGTCTGGTTGAAAATCCCTTCCTTTTCATCATCCAAGACACACAGGTCATCATCTGCTATCAATGTGCATTCTTTTGAAGGTGGTAGTCTCTGGATCAGTGATGACAAATACAGTTTTAAATGAACACCCTATTGAAATCTTTCTCAGAGGAAACTTAAATTAGTCATGAACTTCCTTTCTACAACTTACAAGATCCACAGGAAAGGCATCTAGGTCTTTTGGTCAAAGAGCGCAGACAGACACAGGAAAAGCAGCATAAGAACATTTTCATTTTCAATTTCCAGAAGCATATAAGAAAAGGTTTATATTTTGGTTTATTATTGCAAGTACATCAGTTTGTCAGAAAACAGACAAGGACCACTAACACCACTAAAATTGCATGTAACTGCTATGTAATCAACAATAAAAGAGAAGATATATTATCAGGCAGTTGGGGATAGTTTTGAAACTAACATTGGACTCCAACAACAAGGATACGTGTTGGGTTGTAGAACATCCACTGAATTCTGTACTTGGTGTCATAGCCCACCAGAGAGCAGTCAGTCAAAAGGCTCCTTACTATAGTTGGTCTAAACATGACTACAAACATATGTAGTATGTTATTTATGTGATGCAATCAAAATCTTTCAAGAGAGATTTAGTCGAACTAATATGAACCTGAATATTTGTGCAAAAACTGGTAAGAGCAAAAATGTACTCATGCTTGTTCTCAGAAATTAGATCGATAAAGTTATCTATGATTTGAAGTACTCCAGTCGATGAAATACTGAAGGACAAAGAAGCCTTTAACTTCTATTACTCTGTGTTACTGTCATGTATCATAATTTCCATGATATCTCAGTCCTGAAGTGCTTAATGTAATAGAAATACTTTTATGGCCATTGGATGGATCATCTATTGCTATTTCAATATGTAAATTGATAAATGCAATCAAACTTTGGATTCCACTCCACCCCCTTTCTTCACTATGCCCTGACACATTTTCTGACTAATTAAGGCAACATTTAATTTTATTTGGTGTTGGTAGGCAAGTGGGAAATAACCTGTTCATTATACAAAGAAAAAAAGAAAATGCATTTTTGTTGTCTATCTCATTTAATCACATAATTTTTACAGTTTTTCACTAGGAAATGCAGCGGTTTTGTGTCTACAGTGAAGAGGTAGTACCACTGAGCTCCAAGTTGCTCACTTCTGATTATTGAAGTCTCTG